TTATTTTTATTTTATAAATTCATGAATTAAAATATTTATTTTAAAAACAAAGTTTAAAGAACAAATTTGATGAGTTTGGTCCACGGCAAGTACAAATATGTACATTTTTACGTCAAAATTATTTTGCAATTAATGTTAAATAAATGCTTAAAACGTCCATTTTTATTTAAACTGATATTTAATTATATAAGGTTATTTAATTTGGAAAAGAAAGAAAAAAATTTGATTTTTTTTGTGTTTTTTTATCTCATCTTGTGGAAACCCAACAAATGTCAAGCCCAAAAAACAACCAGCCCAACAGCTACAATGAGAAGAAGAAGTAGCCCCACAGCTGAAAAGAAGAAAAAAAGAAAAGAAGGGGCAACAGTTCATGAGGCAGCAGCAGCAGAAAAAGAAAAAAGTATCAGCAGTCAGGCCCGTTCCTGATATTTTTTAGGCCCTGGGCGAACGTAAGAACAAGGCCCCCTGCAAGAAACAAAGTTTTTAGCAACGACTTTTGTCGTCACTAAATGTCCATTTATCATCAGAAATAGTACACCAACAACATGTTGACGCTATAACTTGTGGCGGAAACATGTTATCGCTAAAAGGCGCATCGTCAAAACTCACTTTTCTTGTAGTAACATTCGGTAAGTACGAAAATAAATTCAATAAATGTTTTTTATTAGTATAAAATTGAGTACAAGAAATGTTAATAATTTACTGAGAAAAGAAATCTTATTTATCTTTATTATATATATATATATATATATATATATGAGTACTTAAATTTACGTACTTCTTATTAGGTCATTTAAAACCAAAAGTATAGAAACTATGGTTGATAAATTTTTATAACAAGTAAGAATTTTTTTAGTTCATAACAAGAAATATGTGTTATTTTGATATAAAAAGATAATTCGTGTGAATGAAGTAATCATTAGAGTCAATGAGAGATCAATAATAAAGAAGATTATCAAGGTTTTCTTGACAAGTAGACAAATGAGGATCAACAAAAATATAAAAGAAAAAAAATGATCCATTGAGATCCAATAAGAATAAATAATGAAATTAACATATAATATACAAGCTCAACAAATGATTGTTTGAGCACTTAAATAGAATCTTATGGTGTGGTGGAATCCCAATGAAAGATATATAAGTCAAACAATCGATGAAAATATTTAAATTATATTTTCTTTCTTTTTTTGCTCAACTAAAATAAAATATTAAGATTTTTTTTGATTAACCTGAATATCCAACCCGCTTTGCGAGCCGATTAATCACAGGACGACCACCTGCTTTGCAGATAGCTCGGAGTCACCGCATTTGAACCTTCGTAGCCACAAGGGGATTTTTATTCCTCCTTGGATTTGAACCTGAGACCTCCTGGTACTTTTGACCTTTGGAGCCAAACTCAAACCAATTAGGTACCACCCTTGTGGTTAATATTAAAATTTTATGGAGATATATAAGACATTACTAAATACATCTAGTAGAAAAAATTTATTGATTAATCACAAAACCATGAAACAAGTCAAAAATTATAAGAACAATAGATTGATTGTCAAATAATAGTAAAATATTTTATGTAGAAACAAAAATAGATAACAATAGTCAATAAAAACAATTAGAACAAGATAATCAAATAACAATAATCAATAAAAGCATAAATTGATAAAATATCCAAAAAAATATATATAGCAATAGCAAGCACATGATCTTAACTTTGAATTATTGAAGTACGAAAACAGTCAAGTTTTTAGAGATAACAATAGTCAATATCATTGGACCTTGTTGGAGATAAAAAAAAGTAGAGAGGAAATAAACAATAGCATATAATGAATGATCAATTAATTTTTTTTTCTTCTCCAATGTAATTAGTTGATATATTTTTAAGCCCTTATTTTCTACTAAATTCTTTTTGTCTCTAATTATATGTTACAATTTTTGGATTTCTTTAATGTATTAAAATCTTTTAGACTACTATTGTAGTTTAGGGGAAAATTTTGGGCCCCTGATATTTTTGGGCCATGGGCGTGCACCCGTGTCGCCCTCCCCCAGGGACGGCCCTGTCAGCAGCCACGAAGGAGTAAAAAACAGTTCGAGAGATAGTGTAGGCGAGAGAGGAGTGGGCAATATTGACGGGAGATCGTGGAAGGAGAGATGACGATTAAAAGGACGAACTCGAGAGCAAACAGAAGGGGCCGATGGAGAGGATTTTTTGGGGGGAATCTGTCAATTAAAAAGATTTTGAAGCTGTCGATCGAGAGGATTTTCGAGCTGTCGATTGAGAGGTTCTTCGAGAAGCAGCAGAAATTTTCGTTTGAGAAAGAGATTGAACTGCAGACGATTTGGAGTCGATTTTGGAGCGGGTTTTATAGGGGTTCTTCCTAAATTCCAATTTTACAAGTATTTGTTAAGTACTCGATTTCCAATTTCTAGTATGTATAGCTAATTTTCAAACTTCTAGTAATGGGTATGTGATTACTTTGAATTTGGATTCGTTGAGACTTACGTCGATTTCATCATATCATTTGAAGATATTTATGCAATTTTAGAGTTGAATGCTTATCATTTTGAGTTGGATATTTTGAGTAGAATCCCTTGTTATGTCTAATTCAATTTCGAGCTGCTAGATAAACCTTTAAGTCCGTAATTGCTTTTTGGTTTATTGAATTAGCACACGACACACAGTTGACATTTATGTTAAATGATGATGTTGTAAGATCGTATAATCTAATTTAAACAATCGGCGCCCGATTGTCGGTTAGTGTTAGGTTTGTTTGACGTTAGTGCTATTGGCAATTAAATTCTAAGTCCATGACTAGGTTTGATTAGCTAATTAGAGGTTAGTCGTAGAGTGTTTAAGGCTAATCATGCTTTTATAACGAACAGAATATTGACGCGTGTCGATGTCCTAACCAACTTGGTTTCTTTTGAGAAAACGGTTTGAATAAGTCGATGATATATAATCCAAATGATTAGTTGATTGATGCTCATTGCTAGTCTCGTTCTTATTATTGTTTAAAGTTCTCAATTTATTTGCATAATTAGGCTATTTATCAATCTTCCAACCCCCCCTTATATTTAGATACATTTTTTTTTATGAATTTGCATTCGGTTACGTCTTGGACTTACGGTTAACACGAGTCCTTGAGGAGACGACCCTACTTATCGCTATCATAAGTTGTGTTTTAGAGATAATAGGCTTATTTTTATAAATTCTATTATTTGCCGGACTCGACACCCGTCCGTCCAAATATTTTGTATTAAACTTTATAATAACCCATTTAATTTTCTATACTCTCTTTACTAAATAACAATAGAACACATAAAACAATGTAATTTAATGTATTTCTTTTTAATCCTTTTACATAGTTTTTGTTTTAAACCTTATGCTTTTCTAATTTACTATTTTTAATCTTTTTAATATTTCCTTATTATTTTTTATACTTTTATATTATTTTATATTCCTATTATATCAATTAGTTGATAATGTATCAACTAAAATATATATATTTTTAACACTATAAACTTAATTATATTTTTAAGGTTTAAAAAATAAAAAATAACATTTGTGATTATTAAATTATTTTAAACCATATTAATTTAATTATATTTTAAGATTAAAAAAATTAACAGTAATTTTAATGATTATTATTTTAATTCTTTATTATTTTATAAAATAAAAGACGTTATTAAAAATAAAATAACATTTACGATATCATCAATCATTTAAATCAATATATTCATATGTATGATTAAAATCTAATTGTTATTTGTATACCTTTAAATGATATTGATACAGAGTAGTCCATGTAGTTACTTCAAGTGCATAAATTAAAATTAAACCCCACAGTTTATGTATTTACGATATTTAATAATACGATTAAATACAAAAATATTCCATTGCACTCATTTTGAAGTTACTGACTAAGATGATTATATTGGTTTAATTTGTAAAAAAGAAACGTATTTTTTAAAATGTATTTTAGTTAATTAATGATTTTTCATGCTAATAAGATAAGGGTGTAAAATTAAAAAGTAAGGAATATAAAAAAAAATTAAGTAAATAACTATAATGACATAAATGATCAGTATTAAAAGTAACTTTTTTACGATATTTAATAATATGATTAAACTTGAATTCAATATTGAACTAATTTCAAAGGTATTGATGAGACAATAACAATGATGTAATTGTTTGAAAAGGTAACATTTTTTTAACTTATTTTATTTAATATATGATTATATATGTTAATATATTAAAGGTGTAAAATAAAAAATAGATGACATAAAGTAAGGGGCCATTTACCAAATGCTTGTTTCGATAAGTGCTTAATAAGTTACATAAGCTTACGGGATGAATATGACAAGGACCAAAAATCTCACCCGGTAAGAACGATGCAAGAACCGAGAGTCTTACCCGATAAGTGAGTGCAATGACTCTTACCACCGTCAGCTCTTACTGGGTAAATTGTTACATATAAAGTCGCTTTTGTTGACTAAAATCTTATTTGGTAACTAAATGATAGTGTTAAATTTTACCGCTAAATGTTTACCAGATAAGTGTTTGGTAAACGGTCCCTAAGTTAAACAAGTATTTATAAGGGTGTAGACTATAACTTTAAAATTGAAAATGATAAGTTTCGGCCGAATTGAATGGTTTGAAGGTGTATAGGCCATAATTATAACATGCAATTTTTGTTTTTCATTTTTTAAAAATTTGTTATATATTTATTAACAAACTAACAATATTAGTTGTGCTTCAAAATGTTTTTTTTATTTAATTTTCGAGCTTTTAATGCATTAATGTTTGAGCAATGTGTGTTCAAATCAAATTATGTATGTACTTAAAAAGCTATAAGAATATGTGATGAGTTCAAGCTAAGCTTTTTCTAACGCTCGTAACGACCTCTAAGTTTTCTCATTCTATGCGTAATAACTTAAAATATTTTATAGATAAAAACCTTTAATGATACTACATTACAAAAAGAATTACAAGAAAAAGAAAAGTATCAATGTATGGCATTGGGTCCAAAGCAACTCTTTTTCACAGGATCCCAAACCCATTGCACAAGAAACCTCCTTCCTTTCACTCCATTCAAATTGTATGCATTTCCTTTTTTGTCCTTGTAAACTTGCCCCACAAACCCACCACCCGCACCTGTCCCATATACTCCTACACATAAATCCGCAATCTCATTTGGGAAGCTTGGGTCATTCCCAGCATACCAACCACTTATAAACGGGTCCGTTGACACCTCTGCTAGCTCATGAGCAATCACACTTATCATTCCTTCTGTTCCTGGATCTCCATTTGGTGCACCCATGATGTTCTTGTTTCCAGTTGGCATGCCTGAGTATTTGGGCCAAGCAAAAGGGTAGGCACAAAACCCGGGGCATTGTGTACCACTATTACCTACCCAAGCATAGGGCAATGTGCCACCTACTATAGATGGAAATGTGAAGTAGTGAAATCCACAAACTTCTCTACAAAAATCTTGAACTTGAACATCAGATGATGTCAACACAAGGTACAAACCAGTGCGGTAGTTAAGGGGTAATGGTTTATGCAATGTTTGGATAGAATTCTTGATCACTGATTGGATGGATAAGCGGGTGAGGAACTTCCCATGAGAGTATCTTGAGTCTATGAACTCTTGAGAGAGACTGATGCTCTTAGTAATGTTAGAGCCAGTTTGATCAGTGTAAAGACGGATTGTCTGCCACCAGTCAAAGACTGAAGGAGAGACAGAGGAGGAAGATGAGAGAGAATATATGAAGTCTCTAATGGTGGATTGGTGATTAGGGTTCCAATTGCCATACCAAATAATGTAAAGGTCTATTGGAGATGTAAGGATAGGACCCATGTGGTATTGAAGATCTACAAGATTAGAGGGGCCCTCATAGTTCTTGGATCCTTTGAACTGATCGATTTGAGCTTTTGTAATTGTTGCAAGAAATGAGAAGCATATGAAAAGCAAATGGCAAGAACGAAGCATATTTGGTACTTGTTTTGGCTTGTGGTTTGGGTTCTCTGATGCTTGACTAAAAGCTATTTATAGAAGTAAACAAGAAGCTTTTAACCCTTGATTACCATAAAACCACGATTCTCCAAAAATAGAGAAAACGGAGACTTTAAAGTTTTTCTTTAGTTTTTTGCTTCAACTGTGCCCAAAGATGTTATCCAAAATGGAAAAAGGAGACAGGAGAAATAGGACACCAAAACTTAATGTTAGGGGAGAAAGAAATATAGAGTCTCCATCCCAAATAAATGTCCACATAAAAAACACACACAGTCTTAGGAATATATAACTATTACACTTTTTAATTAACTAAATATATTTTCTCTCAACAATAAAGGGAATTTTTGTATCCATCTAAAAGTAGAATGAAAAGTAAACACTTATCTTTAAAAGTTGACACTTATTTCAAACAAAATTAAGATAAGAATGTAGACACATATTTTAAAATAAAGAAAATATCATTTTTTCCCTATTTTGGTCGATGCAAAATCAATCTAATGAAATAGGATGAATTGAAACGTTATTTTATAAATACGTAATTATCTCGAATAGATTAACCGTTTCTTTATTGTCTGATCGACTAAGAAAAGAAAGATCTTGTTGTTTCTTCAACGATTTCTGATATTTAGTGAACCTCTCAGTAGGATTCGAACCCATATGAAGTTCTGACCATCTGTAAGAGGAAAAAAAAAACCAAAATGATCTTATAAGATTCCCATGAAATTCTTTGATTTCTTCCCGAAACAGATGATTATTAGATTAATTAGTTATAAATCATTTATAATTAGCCCTTCGAAATAACCATTGTATACTAGTCATTAGAAATTTAACATTTTATAAAAAAAATAGTTTGAAATTAACAGTTAAAAGCACTTTTTCTACTCTTTAATAAATTTGGTAAAATAAAGAAAATCAAAATTAATTATTAATTATTAATTATTAAAAGAGAAAGAAATATATTAATTATTTTCATTTTCCTAAATCATATTTTCATGGTATCAAACCATATATTAATTGGGTTTCTCTTTCTTTCTTTTCATTTATTAGTCAACATTCTTCTAATTTCGTTTAGAATATTTTTTGACAAATTGCTCTTATTTATTAATGACTTTGTTAAGAATAATTTATTACTGGTCGTTGAAAATACCATGTATTCAAGTCATCAAAAGTGTATCAAAAATTGCCATATAAAAAGTTTGTTGAATATTATAATTAATTTTTATAAAAGTAAAATTTGTTGAAAATTATTATTTTATAATAAACTTTGTTTAAAAATTTACTGGAATATTAAATGTCGCGCATTCAATATTTTAAATAATAATACTCTATTTTGGAAAATAAATAAAGTATTGAAAGTTGAAAATAAATAAAGTATTGAAAGTTGAAATTGGTTCTCTATAAAGGAATAACGGATAAAAAATATAAATTTAATTTAATAAATAATGTCATGTTTTTTTTAAACAATTAGACTAGTCGTATATATCTCACAACTATCACTTTCGGTACTGGCATCTTTTGTGGGGTTAGGACCCCTACGAGTGAGCAGAAAAGGAAACCATCCTGCTAGTTAATCCTGCCATATTTTATTATCGCGGATCAACATGTGTTAAAAGATATATCTTTACTAACAATCTTTACTTTTTGTCTTGGTTTTATATCAGGTTAAAGTAGAAGGACTAGTGTTGTAAATGTGTTAAAGTCTGAAGGGGTGCACCTCACATCTTGGAAGAGTACAAGGGTAGCAGAGCAAATAAATACAAATTGGAGGATAGATTTGCAATAAAGAAATTCGTATATAAATAAAGGATCTCTTCGTCTCCAGCTTCATTCAGTTCATTTTTCTTCATATTTCAAAAGTTGTTTTCTCTCTAGATTCATAGCTTACGATTTTTGTTTTCCTTAGGGTTTTGTTCATAAACTGTTAATCATTTTGGTTAACATTTAGTTAGATTTATATGTTCTTTCATTTTGTATAGTTCAAATCATTGAATAAATATCCTTCCATATATTTGTTCATGCTGCGGTGAATATGTACCCGTTTCTTTCAGGGTGCTGACTCGTAGCGAGGCAGAGATGACTGGAATTATTATAGCAGGTCAGTCTAGTAATTAGAGGGAAATCCTTCTCTGTACAAGTTCTCGAACCCCCTCATTATAATAAGTGTGACTCTCACCGCATACGGCTCGCACAAAGACTCCTCTAGAAAGGATGAGAGGTTCTAGTTTATGCATAATGTAGGGGAAAACGTAAAGCATATCGATGAGAATTCAAATAAGTAAACAAAACTAGGAAACAAGAAAAGGACGATGATGAATATTTAAACAGTAGTCAGTAGTAAGCAACACAAAATTAGCATACAAATGGAAATGAATACACCTAATACTTTGCCAATAAATCAAGAACTACATATCCCTAGTCTAATGGAAGTCTCACTAACCCTACACCCTTCCTTTACCTTTCCAATATTAACAACCCCCTCCCCCCCAATCTTACATTAATAACAACTCCTATTAAAGGTCATGTACTCCAAAATATCTAAAGCTATCCTGTCTAGCCTAAGTTTTTCGTCCCAA